CAGAGGCTTAACTAACTGAGCCACCCAGGCACCCCAGGAAGCACCGCTTTTTAAATTTTTTTTTTCAACATTTATTTATTTTTTGGGACAGAGAGAGACAGAGCATGAACGCGGGAGGGGCAGAGAGAGAGGGAGACACAGAATCGGAAACAGGCTCCAGGCTCTGAGCCATCAGCCCAGAGCCCGACGCGGGGCTCGAACTCACGGACCGCGAGATCGTGACCTGGCTGAAGTCGGACGCTTAACCGACTGCGCCACCCAGGCGCCCCAGGAAGCACCGCTTTTTAAAAAGAGAGACCACCTGGGAAGGTGGATGACAGTGTCTCTTGGTAGTGTTGGAGAATGGAAGGAAGGAAAGAGAGTGTAGTATGATTCCCTCTGAACCAAGTTAGGATGTAAGAATCCGAGGAATCTTGGCTACATAGGGAACTATATATTAAAGAAAGCATCCTTCCATGTAGCAGTGGAAGAGTCCTCACACTGAGAAGTGGGGAACACTCTGCTTCTCTGACTCCCCTTCCACAGGATACTCCTGCAAATAGCTGGCCCAGGAAAATCAAACTCATTCAAATAAAAGAGTGAAACAGCAACATCAATACAAAGGTATTATTTAAAAAAAAAAAAAAAAAGCACAAAGAAGGGGCACCTGGGTGGCTCAGTTGGGTAAGCATCCGACTTCAACTGTGATCTTACAGTTCGTGGGTTTGAGCCCTGTGTCGGGCTCTGTGCTGACAGCTCAGAGCCTGGAGCCTGCTTTGGATTTTGTGTCTCCCTTTCTCTCTGCCCCTCTCCTCCCCTCTCGCTCTCAAAAATAAATAAACATTAAAAAAAATTTTTTAAAGCAGAGAAGTAAAAGTCTGGATATGAAGAAAACTCACCAGAAGTGTTGCCACAAAGTAGAGGAAAATTATAACACAATATTCCAAGATAAATTTAAACATTTAATGAAACAATTGCAGCTAGAGGGAATCAGAATTATAGGAACTCAGAGAAGAACATTCTGAGAACAGAAGGTGAGAGACAGATAACAAGGGAATATGAGAGGAGAATGGAGAGAATTCAAGAAAGAACTGGAAAAGGAAGGAAGACTAACTTAGAAGAAGCACCAGAGAGAAGAGATACTAGAACAGTAAGAGGCGTAAAGCATAAGGGTAGTAACAGTGAAGAAAATGAAATAAAGAAATGAAAAGGGTTAGCAAGAATGTGGAAGCAATGAAAGACAGATAAAGGAGATCCAAGATATGTAAAATTGGAGTCCCTGAGGAAAAACTGAAATAAAGGGACAAAACAAATATTTAAAATGAAAATTCAAGAAAATGTTTCTGAAGTAGATTTCCTTTCTATTGAAAAGTAGTAACAGTTACCTGGGACAACTGATACAAAATGATCAATTCCTTCCATGATGGGGCTGTGCTTTGTTGTTTTGTTTTTTATTGAAATACACAGTTTTTCTGGAAAAAAGTGCGGCCCCATCATGGAAGACCTGGAGAGTTTTTAACTTCCTTTATCCACAAACACTGGCATACGATACAAAATGTGCAAAAATGTGAATCAGAGAAAAAAATAACCAATAACCAATAGAAGCAGATGCCATGATTATCCAAACATTGGGGTTAGTGGACACAAACTTTAAAATAGCTATTATTAATAAGTTAAAGAAATTAGAAGGAGAAAAAGCACAGAATTTTCAAAAAACAGAGAAAACTCTACCGAGATGCCATTTCTCCCTATGAGATTTGCAAAAGTCAAAATTTTGAGACAACACATTGTTTTGGCTATGCTGTGGGGATAGTGGGCACTGTCACATGATGTGGGTGGAATGACAAAAATGGCATGATCCCTGCTGAGGGGAATCTTGCAATGTCTGCAAAGCTATGGAAGCATTACTGATGTGATTTGAAGTTTGGGTTTGAGAGCGAACGGCCAGGAAAGAATTCTTAAAACTTTTTGGTGCAAATTATTTTATTATAGCACAGAGACAGGACCCAGGGGCAGAAAGAGCTGCACTGAGATTGTGAGGAGTGGCTGATTATATACTTTTTAATTAGTGGGGGTTAGGGACAGTTTAACTCTCTAAGGAATTTGGAAGCAAGGCTTTTGGGACCTTGAGGGGCTAGCTGCTGTTAAGATAAGGTTATTTTTGGGGCAGTTGGATGGCTCAGTTGGTTGAACATCTGTCTCTTGATAGGGGTTCAGGTTGTGACCTCAAGGTTGTGGGATTGAGCCCTGCAACACTCAGCGTGGAGCCTGTTTGGGATTCTCTCTCTGCCCCTCCTCCCCCTGCCCCCCACCTGCTCTCATGCACAAGTGCTCTCTCTCTCTGTCTCTAAGTAAATAAATAAATAAATAAACATGAAAGAAAGATATGGTTACTCTTAGTCTTTAAAAAAATTTTTTTTAACATTTATTTATTTTTGAGGCCATGTGAGAGAGTGCAAGCAGCGGAGGGGCAGACAGAGGGAGACACAGAATCTGAAGCAGGCTCCAAGCTGTGAGCTGTCAGCCCAGAACCCAATGGAGGGGCTGGAATTCACAAACGGTGAGATCATGACCTGAGCCGAAGTCAGATGCTTAACCAACTGAGCCACTCAGGCACCCCGGTTGCTTACTCTTAGTCTTTAATTAAAGACATAAACATTAAGGCATTAAGGCAGCCATGAGTTCCTTGAGGAAGGTCACGTTCTGCGTGTCTCTGGTATCTTATCTGAGCTTCAAGCTGTAAGGAAATTTAATTTTGGCTACTTTCTCTTGCCTTTGTTCTCCTCATCAATTAGTGCTTTAACAATCTCAATTTCATGATTTATC